CTGACGCCATTTTTAAATCCAAGATGGCGGCTTTTGATTACAGAAAATAAGGAAATTCTGTTAAATACCCCATAATATGGGTATTTTTGGTAGCGGAGTGACGTGTAGGGACTGAAAATCGATGTCTGACGTCATTTGTACATCCAAGATGGTGGTTTTCAGTTACAGAAAAACATGAAAATTCTGGTAAATACCCCACTATATGGGTATTTTTGCAATGAGTGTGAAGTGTAAGGACCAGACAGCGATGTTTGACGCTATTTTGAAATCCAATATGGCAACTTTCGGTTACAGAAAACATGGAAATCCTGTCAAATACCCCACCATATGGGTATTTTTGGAATCGGTGTGACGTGTAGACGTGACCAGAAATCGATGTTTGACGTGATTTTGAAATCCAAGATGGTGGTTTTCAGTTACAGAATAACTTGTAAATTTTGTCAAATACCCCACAATATGGGTACTTTTGAATCAGGTGACATTTAGGGACCGCAAATCCATATCTGATGCTATTTAGATTTTGGTTTTGATGGTGGCTGATGGCGCCATCTTGGATTTCAAAATGGCGTCAGATATATATTTTTGATTCCTACAAATCACTCCGATTCTAAAAAATTACTCATATTGTGGGTTATTTGAAAGTATTTCTCTATTTTTCTCTAACTGAAAGCCACCATTTTATATTTAAAACTGGTATCAAACATGGGTTTTGAGTCCCTACACGTAACTCCGATTCTTAAAATACCAATATTGTGGGGTATTCGACAGTATTTTGAGAACCGGATGCCACCATCTTGGATTTAAAACAGATTTCAGATATGGATTTCTCATTCCGACACGTCACCCCGATTCCAAAAATACCCATATTGAGAAGTATTTCATAGTATTTTTCTGTTTTTCTGTAACCGCAAACCACCATCTTTGATTTCAAAATGGCGTCAGACATGGATTTCAGATTCTAACACGAAACCCGTATTCCAAAGATACCTATATTGTGGGTTATTTAACAGTATGTTTATGTTTTTCTGCATCCAGAAGCCACCATATTGTATTTCAAAATGGCATCAGACATGGGTTTTCAGTCTTTATACGTCATTCGAATTCCAAATGTACCCATATTGTGGGGTATTTGACAGAATTTCCAAGTTTTATTTAAGCAGATGCCACCATCTTAGATTCAAAAATATCGTCAGACATAGATTTATGGTTCCTACACGTTACCCTGATTCAAAAACTACCCATATTGTGGATTATTAAACAGTATTTTTCAGTTTTTCTGTAACCGGAAGCCACCATCTTGAATTTAAAAATGGCTTCAGACATGGGTTTTCAGGCCTTGCACGTCACTCCTATTTCAAAAATACACATATAGTGAGGTATTTGACGGCATTTCCAAGTTTTTCTCTTACCAGAAGCCGCCGTCTTGGATTTCAAAATGGTGCCAGGCATGGATTTCCGGTTCTAACACGTCACTTAGATTTCAAAAATACCCATATTGTGGGGTATTAGACAGTATTTTTCTGTTTTTTCTGTAAACGGAAGCCGCTATCTTGAATTTTAAAATGGTGCCAGAAATGGATTTCTGGTTCCTACACGTCACTCCAATTTCAAAAATATTTATATTGTGGGGTATTTGACATTTTTTTTTTCTCCAAAAACGTCTTTTTACGAAGTAAATCCCAAATAACGAGTTTGGTTCGTCAATGGAGATTCCATTACCTCTGAGATATTTTTAGGAATTAAAGTGTATTTGATTTAAATTTTCAAAAGTTAATGACATTTTGCGTTCACTTGCGCGTGTTAAGCAAATTAAGCCAGATTTTTTTTAATTTCATATGATATATATTTTTGAGCACTCTAAATATTTTAGCATTGATCTGGAAAAGATTGGATTGATCAGTACCGATCGAGGAAAAATGATAAAAGTATTCTTTTGAACGATTGATCAAAGTATAATACCACAAACGTTAATTTCAGGCAATTTTTTAAAACTTGGTACATTTCAGTTTTTTTTTAAGATGTACAGCTTGTATATCTTCGGCACCTTTTCATAAAATTGTACGTCCAACAACTTTGCCGGAGACAGCAAACATTTATCTTGTGAAATAAAAAATCTTATATCGCTGCGCCATATTTGCGGCCAAACTTGAACTATTTTCATACATCAAATTATAGTCCTAATTAATCCAAGAAAATTCACTCAAGACTTCAACTCAATTGAATGCAATCCCAGAGCGTTATTATTTATTTCCTGCTATATTTAATTCTTGGCCCATTACAAAATGGTCATAAACCCGTATTTAGCAAGACAAAAATGTGTGCGCCCAATCCGTCAGTTTTAGATATATAGTGTCTTCGGGAAAATTTGCTTCATATTTTTGACCGATCTTTTTATGCCAGAGAAATTAGGTTGGTCTATGAAGTTGATGAATTGAAAATACATTTTTTTTTATTATTTTAGATAGACCAATGCGGTGTTGTAAAAAGTTGTAGTACAATCAATTTAAAGCAACTTTGCTGAAGACATCAAATTTATATCTCTTATGGTTCATGAGTTATGATTTTTTTAAGTATGCAGGGCAGGGTGGTCCCCAGAAAATCGGATTTCTTTAAATATCTTTTTACGCGTTCATTGCTCGTAAAAAATTGTTTTGAATACTTTTAGAACTTTTTATGATGCATATTTTTGCTGAAGCAACTAAGTTGTTATCTCTTTTATTTGAAATGTTTTGGCTAGTTTTTGCTGAAAAATAAGACTTTTTTAAGATTAAATTAAAGGCTTTATTCAAAAAATGCTCTCGCATTTTTCCACGAAATATGAATTAAAAACGATCTTTCAATTTGAATTAAAAGTTTGACAATCGGTTTATTCCATTAAGAGATATTGACAATAGATAAGAGACATTCTTTTGAGGAAAAGCTCCTTTAACTTTCATATAAGAAAATACGTCATCAAAGTTCTAATAGTGTCTAGAATAACGTTTTTACGAGAAATGAAGCTATTAATAAATATTAATAGAAAACTGATTTTTTAGAGGCCACCCTAAGCTGCTGTTTAAAAAAATCATAACTCATGAACCATAAGAGATAGAAATTTGGTGTCTTCAGCAAAGTTGCTTCGAGTTGATGTTGTACAATTTTTTAGAACATTGCACTAATCGATCTCAAATAAAAAAAAGTTTATATTTTCAATTCACTTATTTTATGGACCACCCTAATTTCTTTGAAATAGAAAGATCTGCCTAACAATATGAAGTAACTTTTCCCGAAGACAATATATACCTAAAAGTGATAGTATGGGCGCAAATATTTTTGTCTTCCTAAATACAGCTTTGGGACCATTGTGCGTTGTGCAGTGATGGGAAATTTGGAATAAGTAAGAAGCTATAAGATGCCATTCAAGAAATGAAGAAAAAATAATCTGCATTTTAAATAACTGGTTACCTTGGAGGGTCACCAGTCCTATCTACCATCATTGCTCATGACATTTAAAAATATGAAGAAGTTTTGAAAAACTAGGATGATGAATCAAGTTATGCTCATTTTTGAGGCAATGTCTACGAGCGGTTGCTTGAAACTTCCCAAGTATATCCAGGAAGCTTTATGCTTGATACAGAAAGCATTAAGTTTTAACAGCCTATCCATTTAAGGTGATGCTTCAATCGTTTAACATATGCGTTTTAGCATATAGCATAGCATTGTGCAGAAGTCGAAATATTTTACATTGATTGGAGTTGTTTGCTTCGAATAATTCCAGACAATGCTATAAGATAAGAAATCTCAAAATTACATGACTCCTCTGTAACGTACATCCTTAAAACAGTTTCTACGGAAAAAACGGAAAAAAAGCTAACCATACAACCAATTATCTGTCAGAGCTTAACTATCAATCATCTTGTTTAGGCCATTAAGGCGACGTTCTAGGTTACCGAAGAATTTAGCTATTTTAGTCTACCTTAACTGTATAAGTTTTTTATTCTTTTAGCACACCTAGTTTTGTAAATAATTTCAACCCAAAGCTCCTTTCCCTCCTCGTCATTTCATCAGCCTACCCTCATCTTCATCATGATCGTCACTTTTATTTTCCGTTTCATTCTTCGATTCTCATTCAACCCCTAAACATAGTTCAACTCTCATTGCCTTCGTAAACAAACAAAAATCGAACGAACCTCACACCTCACGCGACAATGTCCCCGACGATCGTAAGACTTTTTCGGCTTTGCTTCTGGACGCTGGACGTGGCGGACTACATTGCGTCAGCCGTGCCAGGTGCGCTCCGAAAAAGACTTCGGCGATTCGGAGCCTGTCAAAGGAGCGAGAATCAAACGAAAAACCATCATAGAAACTATCGAACGGGATCCCGACCTCATATCATGGCCATTCTGAAAATAATAAACGATGTAAAAAAGAAGAACAAAAAAAAAACTGACAACGCTCCCCCTCCCGCAAAATAAAAACATTCTACGGAAAGCACTTTTAGATTAGGAATTCGAACGCACCCGGAGATTTTCCCTATAGCTGTGTTTGATTGAAACGGAAAGCATCGCGATGTGACAGGAAGACAACATTTTTCCAGGAGTTGGACAACGCCATCATGTAGATGTTGTGTTTTTTTCCGTTCTGTGTGCTCCGCAACGTTTGACCATTTTACGAGATTTAATTTCATCCCACCATGTACAAACAATCATTCATTCAACAGACCACCGGGTATTTGCATGATTTGGGAAAGAGATTCGAAAAATTTCCGCTTCTTTTTACGTTCCTATGCATTCGAGTATTGCGATTGGAAACTAGTTCATCAACCGTCTCATTCATTCGTTTTGCCCACTTTCCCTCTACACTCTCGTATCCCTGACGAATAAACATCCTAAAAATTTATGCCAGGAAGACACCCTACATGGACAGCATACTGCATTTACTAACGAGCAAACTTTTCTTCTCTTTTCCCGTAACCACCCACTACAATAATGATGACATCATTCGGTCGATCCTCCCAACAGCTAGATTTACAGCTGCAAGATGAAACGGGTGGGGATATCAGTAGTTTCGTGACGAATGGGGAGTGGGACCTGCTGGGTAAGTAAAACTGAAAATTAAATATATTTGATGATTGAATTATTTAAGCAAAGTCTAATTGTGGTGTTGAATTTATTGATTTGCCGCAAAAAAAAAAATTGAATTATTTATCCACCAATGCACTATTTCCATGATGTTATCGTAATTTCAGGAATTTTTCTGGCTTTTTTTCATTAAAATATGTTCTAGAATAAATATATTTGAACATTTCACGGTTACAGCTTCAAGCTTAATTTCAAAGAATAAAATCTTGGAAAATAATTTGAACATGAAAACATAGATGATTAACAATTCGACAGTGAGCCTGCATAAGGGCGTATATGCGATGATCGATTCTCTTCATAGATTTTCTCTTAGCATTGCTAAAGCTAAGCGAAACAATTTTCTAGAATTTATTCAATGCAGAGTTGTAACAGGTTTTATTGGCTATCAAAAGCAACAGCAAACGCGCCGAGAAACGTTAATTATAACTAGTTATTAAGGTGATACTCTAAGGAAGCCTTAGCGTGGAACTTCAAAGGCACAAATGTCAGCTTCCACAAAACATACAAATTTGAAATTGCTCTCTGTTTGTAGTAGCTCAGCAAACAAGGAGCAGCAATTTCAAATTTGTATGTTTTGTGGAAGCTGACATTTTTTTTCTAATTGATTTATTTGATAAGGCTCAACCGAATTAACTTTACCGACCCGAGGACTCTTGTTCACTATACAATACATCTTAAAACTATAGTGAAAAGGTACAACACAATAAATATTTTATCTTCCGCTGTCCAATAAGCCTCCTCCATCAGAACAGGAGCCGCTTCCAGTGGTTTTATTCTATGGCAGATTCGCCAACGAGGGCAGCAATGGACGCAAAACGTGGTCAGCACTCACACACTCATCACGAAACGGTTGCTTTCCAAAGTCGACGACGCATCGATTGAAAGAACTGCTGATGAAGAACAATGAGGAGGACCACACAATGGTTGCTGCCGAGTAAACAGACGATCGCCTACAATACATTGAGAGTGGTATGCTTCTGTCGACAGCCGAGTGAACACCGGAAGCTGACATTTGTGCCTTTAAAGTTTCACGCTAAGGCTTCCTTAGAGTATCACCTTAACAAAAGAGAAAATTGACGAAGAGAATCGATCACCGCGTTTACGCCCTTATGCAATATGCAAGCTCACTGTCGAATTGGTTTTGTACAAAGTGTGAAGTATCCTGCTATCTGTCACTTGTGTTTCTCATTAAAAGATTCAACTTCACTCGTTGATGGTTTATGCAAGATTGATTTTATTATTCAAATTTAACTTAGCCTAAACATTATGTCGACAGTGAGTCGACAGTGAGCATTCATAAGGGCGTATAAGCGACGATCGATTCTCTTCATCGATTTTCTCTTTTGTTATTAACTCGCTAGATTTAACGTTCATCGGTACGGTTGCTGTTACTTTTGATAGCCAGTACAACCTCTTACAACTCTGCATTGAACAAAATGGAGCAATGCAAAGAGAAAAACGATGTAGAGAATCGATCATCGCGTATACGCCCTTATGCATGCTCACTGTCGATGTATTTGCTAGTCAATCAGCGATCGATACACATAGATCGACCAAGAGAGGGAGAGAAATGATCAAGAGAGAAACCGCCCTGCGGCTTTCCCACGTTACATGTCGCACACTGAAAAATTTTCTGAATTTTAACTAACGCGTAAAACCTCCCTTTGTTTAATTTTGAGCTATACTTGGCATAACCAGCGCAACCGTTTACAAGCTTGCATACAATATTACTAATTTATGCGATATTGCGCTTAAAATTACACGAAATATCGCGTAAATTTATGCCAAATCTAGCTTTAATTTAAGGTGCGCTATATCTCGGATAAATTAACATGAATTTTTCGAACGGTGCATGGTGACAACGCCGCTTGAAAACAGGCGTAATGCATTGGTTTAGTAATTATACAGTTCGAAAAAGTAGTGTAAATTTCTGTTCAATATGATGCACATAAATGGAGCGTCACATATCATATAAGTTTACATCATAAATCATGTAAAGTTCTGAGACATTTCATGCAATGTAGCAAATATTGTATACAAAAGACCATCTTTGTAAACAATATTGTTTACAAGTTGTTCGGTTGCATGAAATCAAATACAAGTTTACGTGAATGAAACAAAAATGAACAGAATTCGATGGCGTATGTTATGCAGATGCCCAAATAACATTGTTAGTTTTATCGTGGTTTTAAAGCATTCTACAAGTCAAGCCATGGCCTACAGAACCCTCATAAAACCAAAATTGTTACTTGAATGCAACACGCAGAAAAAAAAAACTTAGTTCAACCAAACAAAATTCGTATCATTTTTAACAAAATTTTGAATAGAATATGGATCTATAAAATTGATGGAGTAATTCAAAAACATTGAGTTAAAGTAATTCTTCTATGTTTATTTATTTATATATTTTTTATTCGAAAAAATGTTTGCTTGCAACAACTTGAAGCATTATTTATAGTAATTAACGTTTTTAGCTTGTTTTTATTGAAAAATGAACCAATATTTTTCAATTATGGTTAAAAACAATTTACTTACTGAGCCACTGTTTATTTATTTATTTATTTATCTATTTATTAATTTATTCATTTATTTATTGATTTATTTATTTATTTATTTATTTATTTATTTATTTATTTATTTATTTATATATTTATTTATTTATTTATTTAGTTATTATTTATTAATTTATTTATTTATTTATTTATTTATATATTTATTTATTTATTTATATATTTATTTATTTATTTATTTTTTTATTTGTTTATTTATTTATTTATTAATTTATTTATTTATTTATTGATTTATTTATTTATTAATTTATTTATTTATTTATTTATTTATTTATTTATTTATTTATTCATCAATTAGCCTATTGCGTTGCACCATTTGCTGCGTGAATGAGTTGTACACACACAGATAAAAATTCATCAATTTAATAGTGATGTAAACATTCATTCTCATAAACTTGTATTTCATTTTACGCAACCGAGCAACTTGTAAACAATGTTGTTTACAAAAATGAGCTTTTGTTTGCAATATTTGCTACATTGCATGAAATGTGCATGCTCGGTAATGGCGGCCTGTTTGTATGAATAAATGTATCCTTCACTGTGCTTTTTGACACTAACTGGAGGGCGTATGTTGTTCCATTTTCTTCTGTTCCTGGGAGAGGGAAAGGGAAGGGGTTGAAATTCGAACATCTAGATAGTGTCAAAAAGCACAGTGAAGGATACATTTATTCATACAAACAGGCCGCCATTACCGAGCATGGAAAGCTGGATATAATGTGAACTTATATGATATGTGTCGCTCCATTTATGTGCATCATACTGAACAGAAATTTACACTACTTTTTCGAACTGTGCACTACTAAAAAGTCATGTAAATTTCGGTTCACTGAGACCGACACATGTAAGCGGGCCTTTTGACATAAGAATCAGTTCGAAAAAGTAGTGCAAATGTCTGTTCAATATAATGCACATAAATGGAGCGTCACATATCATATATGTTTACATTATATATCATGTAAAGTTCTTACACATTTCATGCAATGTAGCAAATATTGCATACAAAAGCCCATCTTTGTAAACAATATTGTTTGCAAGTTGCTCGGTTGCGTGAAATGTAATACAAGTCGACGTGAATGAACAACAATTAAAATTCAGAATTTTTATCTGTGCAGACGTAGCTTGAAGTTCGCTAGATTTTGTTCCTCGAAGTTCGGTGAGACACAGGGGTACTGCATATGCACTGCCAAAGAACGAATTCGTCGATGATCAACAGTGTAGCCTTATTTCGCCCTATCGCAAGTCAGCGCTGAAATTTAAAATGCAAGTTAATAGATTGCTTGTCGAGTAACTATATTAATCGACATAATTTTTAAAACTAAAACTTACATAAGGAGGAACTTTTCAACTATAAATAGCAACGATGTCGATACAGGCTGAAAGTTGGAAACGTGCACTTAAAAATTATTTTGTTAAGGCTATAAAAACAGTTTTAAACAATTTTATTTATTTGATTTAAATGAACTTCTACATTTATTTGAATCTTTTTAGTGTACTGAAACAAATAGAAATTTCGTATTAAATAATAACAATATGTAAATTTTGTAAATTTACGCCTCAGTGTTTTATCTGCGTGAAAAATATATATTTTATAAGGTTATCAAATTTTTATTTTCGGAAACATTATTATTTGTTTTAACAAGTCATCTGTTAATAGAAAACATAATTTGGCATAGTAAAATGATTACAATTCAATATAATTTCAGTTTTCGGTTACATTATCATCATGAACAAAATATTCTTCATTTTCATCGACAGCTACCAGAAGAATATAAATTTGTGTGTAATCCGCGCTAAGTGTGTTAACATTCCTAAATACCTCAAACCACGTTGCTCGTATTATCAGCGCCTCCTACAAGTGTAAGTAGACCAAACGACCCACAAGCGGCAGTCAAGCAAAGGACTGCAACGCCTGTCATCTGCGAACAACTCGAGTGAAGCCAAATTTCTCTGGTGCTCTGGTGCTTTGCAGAGTCGGTGTATAATGAGTCACGCCAAGAGAAAAACAGTTTAACTCGCATCACGATTTTCGAAAGATCCCCTTTCTTTTCACATGGCAACAGAAGACTTCTACATCAACTTCAAATGACTTCTAGCCATAAATAAAAATAGCGGCTGTAGTTAATCATGATATCAGTGATTTTGTCAAATTATCTTAACAAAAAATAGTAGAAATTCTCATTAGGGTTGATGCATATGTTATGTCACGCTCTAAGGGGGGGAGGGGGTTGGTCTAAGATTTTGTGACAAACAATGCATTAGGTATAGGAAAAACGTCACGATAGGGGGGAGGGGGTAATTTTTTGCTCGATTTAGCGTAACATAATTAATGCATGGGCCCTTACTGGTCATTACTAAACGTATCCCATGACAAGTTAATGCTCACTGC